CAAAATATTTCCAACGACACGAGAGCCATAGTGTGCTTGAATTTTTTTCAAGTCCACGCCTCTTTATATTGAGGTGATATTAATTAAACATAAATACTCTCACTTTTTTTTTCCGTTTCTTTGAACTATGAATTAGAAATGAATTGATAGAATTTTTTTTTACGGTAAAAATAACGACGATTCGTATTAATATTAAATCAATTATACATTACTGTCGAGCTGATAGACAATTATTTAATAGTTCACTATTTATTGTTTTCATTCATTTCTGTCAACTTTTACCGTCCAAAAAAATTTTTTAAAAAAAATTTAATCGGCTTATTTCTTATTTAGAGTCGGTGAAATCCAGAGTCTGCATCTTTGTCTAATTTCGCTGCACAGCCGCTATAAAAACTTCATTTTAAGATACATCAGTTAATAGATGTAAAAAATAAAATATTGTTAATAATACTTGAATATTATTATTAAACTTTTAAGAATAAATGAAAATAAAAAAGAATGCATTCAACAGTTGCTGATGCTAATCACTGAATAGCATCAACTAAATACGGTTAAAAACAGTTTTTTACAACAATTTATACTCGTCAGTAATCAAATAATTATATTAAAAATAATAATAGGCTGTTACAATTAATGAAATATTGAAAACAATTATTTACCATTAATGTTTATTTAACTTATTTTAAATTATTAGATAATTGTTACGAGGTAAACAATTATGATAAAGCTGATTGAAATTCAATAAAAATAATACTCTCATGTTGAGTAGGATACTACAGCAAAACAAATTAGTTTATATTGTTGATAATAGTTGAATGATGATAACAGAACTAGTTATTGAATAATTTTGAAAATTTCCTAGTTTTCATTACTTACATTTTTTAGTTGGATATTTTAAAAATCATACATATCACTATTAATCAAATGATATCAGAAATAATGACATTCATCAATCCCCAGTTATGAATAGTTTTGTTAATATTATGCTCCTGATATCAACAGTATTAACTAATTTTTTCTGTACTACATTTTACTCAATGTTAAATTATTGCTTTTATCAAATTTCAATTGGTTTTGGTAATCGTCAATAACTGAAAATAATATGAAATGATTGTTTTCAAAAAAAACTTAGTTTTTATTATATTTGGTTTTTCATAATAGTCTATTGCTGCTTTTAATATAATTGTCTCATTATCTTTTATGGATTTAAATAATTTGCTATTGTATTTTCATTGAAAACTTTTCAAGCAGGCACCCACCTACATACTAACTCTAGCAATGTTGTTCGACTTTGAAAATTGCGCGCGTGCTCCTGTATTAAATGTACTTCCTTATATTAACAATTTTCTTTGTATTTCGGTATTTAACTGTTTGACAATTTGTATTAAAGAAAATGGTAATGAATACCGTTGATAATGACTCTCTTCATATATTCATGAGATTATCATATTAAAAATAAAACAATATACGTATTCGTATACGAGTAGTTCGATATTTTTAAAAGCCATATCTTATTGTCAATATCTATTTAATATTATTTCAAATGATTATATCTTATTTTTAACCATTTACTACTTTACTTTATATTGTTCTTAATGGAATTAAAATAATAGTGATACAACTATTCGACGAATTTTATTATTTTTTACATTATACACCTCACTATTTATGAAATAATTAGTATTACTATAAATTCAAATATGTAAAAAACAATTAAATCCATACAATTATTCGATAAAAAATTTTATCCATATCAGTTTACTGTTATTGTTCAGTATGAAATTAAACTTCTATATCGCATTCTATCTAACCATTTAGAGTTTTTTTTTCTCAAATTCAAACTAGTTTTAAAAATAAAAATTTTCAGCTCAAAGTAGAGTCACACCAAAAATCTTGCTATGTTAAAAGTTGGGAGCCTCAGGAGAAAATGTTTCTTGAGTTTCAATTGGGGCTGTAAAACTTTACGGCTCCTTATTGTTCATTGTTAACAATACAGTCTCCTTTCTGAAGAATTTGTCCTACCTTAATAATTGTCTGCATGGGCCTCATAAACTCCTCAATTCGTGGGCCCAGCATAGAAGGTGTATGCAATCCCTCTTTTTGAACGCAAAAATTAATTCTTATGTCGATAATTTTTCTGATTTGTCATTAAAATATAAACACTTTTATATCTTATTATTTTGAATTATATACAATGAAAGATTGAATGGTATGGTGGAGCATAATCAGGGGAAGCCACAGAAAAATGGAACATAAAGAAAAATTGTAAGGTATAACAAATTAAGTAATGAAGTTACAAATATTGAAAAATTGTATTTCATGAAAAGATGAAAAAATTGACGATAAAAAGCCACTATAAGCATTTTTAAGCTTACTTCAATAAATTTATGAATTTTTTTCAAGCATTCTTCTCTACCTCGGCGTTCCATTTCATACTATATTTTACTTTATACTTTATTCATATTTTATACTTACTTACTATTTATAAATCAGTGATAAATTCAAATAATTATTCACATAACAAATACTTTTTGTGTTTAAAATGTATACTTCGAACACCAGAAGCACTAGAGCACTGGACGTTTTAAAATTTATGGCAGAGTGAGAGATTTTACCTATAAAAATAATCAAAGTTAACTCATCCACCTCAAAAGAATGTGCTTGCATACACCTCTTATGGTGGATTCATGGATTGTCGGGTAATTATCTATCTGATCGTTTTTAGGCGAAGATCAATTATTCATTCAATATATGAAGGGGAATTCATTCGTCACCAAGTTTTTGGTGATAAACATAATTTTTAAATTTCTAGTAGTAAAATATTCTATATATAGTAGCAAGTAGAACATATGCATAAAATTGAAAACGAACTTTTTTTTTTACACAACGTTATGTTCCCATGCATTTAAGCGAGACGGTGCTTTCAGCAGTATCGTATTGCAGAAGAGAATATGATTATTTAAAATAGCAGCATGTATTTAATATATGACAATTGTTATGACGATGAACACTTAATTGTTAATTGTCATCTACAGCAAGAATAGGCAAACCTGGTTTCTCGAAATCAGAAACATATATTAAGACTATGAGAAAAAATTGTTCATTGCCAAGTGCGCCAATACCTGACCGACAAGACGTTTTTGCCTGCCCGCATAAGCGCACACTGGAAATCTGAGTTAAAATAACAATAGGATACTTTGATGTTGAGTAATAAACCTAGGTCTCAATATTGCATTTCTAACCTAGGTAGAATCGTTCGACTTTTGTGACTGAACGGTTAAGTCCCCTAATAAATTTTCTGCCTTTCAGAACTTATTCATCAATTTTCGGAAAGCGAAAGAAGTGAAAAAAAATGCCTGCGAAGGTAGCAAAACAATACATATCCGAAGTTTATTGGACCCAATAAATAGATATAATTGTCCAATGGATTTTTGGATTTATTTTGGGTATTGCGTGCTCCTTTACTACCCCTAATTTTACTTTTCTATTGTTCACTATAAAAATAGAATATATTCACAAATTGTTTCATAAATATTATGAATAAATGGGCAGAAGAAAAGAGTCGCGCGCTAATTTATACGCCTTAATAAAATTACAATGATAAATTTTATGTCCAATGTTGAAGACGTGAACAATACGTGCTCAATCTCTAGAAGTAAATACGAAATGTCATAAAAAAAATTTATAATTCAATTGTTTAGCTCTATTGTACATACAAGAATTTTGCCTAAGTCGCAGATAACAAATTTAGAATCTACTTTGGCAAACTCACATAACGTGCCGTCAACGGAAATAATAATTCGACGATTTTTATACGCCTTGTAATGTAAATTACTTTATCTTTCACAATCTATTTAAAGCAAATATTACAAGATTCATTCTTGTCTGCGTAGATATTAATAATTAAATATTATTGGGGAAAGTTAGAAATAAACTTAAAAGTAGCTATGGATAATAACTAATCGTTTTATGTACTGAATAATGTCATCATGATTGACCATAAATATACATAGAAACAGTTGAATACTGTTAAAAACGAATTTTTCACTACACTAACACCCAACCACTACAACATAGTCACATCGAAAACAGTTATATATTGTTCTAAACAATCAACATTTTTAGAGGTGATTTTTTACTATTAGCAACTGTAATAGATTTGAATAGAATCTGAAATTAATATTTTAAGCAAGATAGTCAATTCCTTTAATTTTTTGATAAAAGTAACTTCATTAAATAAAAACAGGGCATGTAATTGTTTACAAATACTAATTGTCAAAAATTTGGTTAATGTAGTGTAAAATCTTAGTTACTGGCAGTTACACATATGAAAAAAACTTTTCACTTATACAAATTTCGAAATGGTTATTTTGTTTATCATTTTTTTAGGGCATACATACTGGTAACTAAACTCGGCATTTGATGTCAGCTCACCCAGATATTTATCAAAGATTTCGAAGTGAACAAGAAAAAGAGACAAGTAAAGGAGTGTCAACTATTGAGGGCATAAAAAAATAGAGGCTCAACCATTAAATCGAGTTAATTTATCTAAATCAACTCTTAAAAACGCGATCTTGGAGCTTGTGACTGTTAACGGAAGGCCTTTCTCAATCCTAGAAGACTCAGGGATGCGCAAGATTTTACAACCTATTTTGGAACGATTGCCGCCAGATGAAAAGCTTAATACGTCACCCGAATGTGTTAAACTTTATATATATGAAGAGTCGGACCGGATCATTAAATTAATTGAACATGAGGTGCAAAACAAAAAATTAATCAGTTTGAAAGTTGATGTAGCTTCACGTCACGGACGCTCTTTTCTTGGCTTAAACATCCAATTTATTCAAAATGGAAAAATATCTATACGAACTTTGGGTGTTGTTGAACTAACAGATAAACATACTAGTGAACATTTGAAGACCGTTATATTAGAAGTTTTTGAAAAATATAGTATCAACATTAAAAATATTTATTCGTTCATCTCGGATAATGCTGCGAATATGCTAAAATTACATACTTTACTGGAAAATTGTCAAAATTTTGAAGCTCTCAAATTATGTGATGACGCAGCAGAGGATAGTGATAACGAAAATGAAGAAGTCTTGAATGAAGATGACATCAACGATGGATCTGATGAAGCGGAAGTCGAAGTAGATAATGACGATCCTGATGACCAGACAGTCCAATCACTGGAAAATATTTTCGCCGATGAAAAAAGCAGCAAAATAGTAAATATCCGGTGTGCTGCTCATACTTTGCAGTTGGCCATTGACGATGGCATAAAAATGAGCAAGATACGGAAGGATTCGGTCATGAACCAGATGAAAAAACTATTTCCCACTATTTCGAAACCAGTGTTAGATGTAGTAACAAGGTGGCATTCCACGCATGACATGCTAGCTTCCTTGGTAAATTTCAAGGATTTCCCTACAGAGATAAAATATTTAAGTGGAAAAGATTGGGAAAATATCAATATTTACGTGGAAGTTTTAAAATCAGCAAAAATGGCCATAAAAACGTTCCAAAATGAGCAACTTATCATGCCCGAATTTTTTTCTACTTGGCTATTGTGCAAAGAGCAGATTCAAAAAATTGATAACGTATTTGCAAAGAATATTGTTGATTGCATGACGAATAGAGAAAAGAAATTATTACAAAATGAAGCTCTATTAGGAAGTATTTTCTTAGATCCACTGTTGAACTGTTTGTTAGAAGAAGATCAGAAGACTTCAGCTATCAATCATCTAGAAGAAGTGTGGATAAAACTTCAAAAAATAAACTCATCTACAATAGAAGCAGAACGAAAAGATCACTGTATGGACATTGATGAAGATAATTCAAGTGAAAAAATAGGTATGATGCCATCAATATTAATAGAAAAATTACACAAAAAAAAAAAGCAAAAATGGACACTTCAGGAATAGATGTGAAGCCTATACTTCATCGATTTTATAACGATCAAGAGAGAAGTGAAGAAACACGTTTATTAGATTTTTAGGAAAAAAATAAATTCGTTCACCCCAAATTATATCAAATTGCAATAATTGTATTGGCAACACCAGCAACACAAGTCAGTGTCAAAAGATTATTTTCCGGATTAAAATATATATTTTCAGATTTGAGAGGAAAACTGAATACCAACATATTGAATGCAAAGTAAAATTCACTATATTAAAATGTATTGAATTTGGAATATATTAATGTATGAAATTAATAAAATCAATAATAAAAAGGTTCATACATTTTAGTTACAGCAGTTTTTGCAATATTGCTAAATTAATACCCGAGTCGGCATAAAATATTACATTTTTTTTTATCCATTCATCCTTTCGATCCTCCATTCAATCTTTTTATCATGATTTATTATATTTTCTTCTGAGGTGAATGAAATGAAAATAAAGTCGAAACTAAACCTTACTCCATCCTTCTTGTTTTAATGCTAATTGTTATGTACAACCTGTGCATATGTTTATAGTAATATAAAATAGACCAGATCTTCACAAACAAAACTTTAATCCATGAAGCGGTATATAAAGAAGAATATTCTGAGCGAAACTGCTTAGGCATTTTCTGTTGATGAAAAATTTTTTAGATTATAAATCAAGTAAGTGCCAATAAAAGCGCATCATTTTCCACGGGTAAAATTATGGTAAGAGAAATCAAAAGAAAATTTATTATGATTTTCAATTGAAAGTTTGAATCAACGAAAATCATTATCTGAAAGAATTTTCCTTAACATCAAAAGTAATTCAAACTTGCGAATTGCAATAAAAAATTGTATTTATTTTTCGTTTTAATCTTTCATCATTTGTTTTGCCTGCAAATAATGCTCTCTTATAAGTGAATTTTTTTTTTCTAGAATTTACTTATGGATTGAAGTATTGGCTGTGGTTACCTTTCATATTTTTTTTCTTTTTTTTTTTCTTCTTTATAATTATTATAAATTATATAAGATCTGAAATTCAAATAGAAATGACCAATGAGGAAGTGTAATGTTCCGGTCAATATGAAATAAAGATGAAAGTTGAAACAACATAGGAAAAGTATCAATTCGTTCCAAACTGCATCATCAAGAATTTCAATATAATTAATGAAAAATATTTCAGTATGTTTCGTTATACAAATAAATCGGGTTTTGAGAATAAATTTTGGAAATATACTTGAAGTTTACAAGAAAACAATAAAAGTAATGCCAGCTGCAGTCTGGTAGTCAATGTTATGCGCGGAGCTCTACATTTTAGTATTGATTAATATCGATCGATTCGAAACATAAAAACTGTTCACGAATGTTTTTGTAAGATATTACTTTAATGAAACTTCTCTTGAGCTCGGAGAGCATTTCTAAAATTTCTTATTGAATATTGATTACCTCAAATAAAAGTATAATTTCTTTTTGTGGAAAATAATTTTGAAATGTCTTTTTGTAATCATCGAATGAACTGTACATCATTTATAACCATAAATTGAACATCTTGAACATCAAGTTAAATAAACTTGACTTGTCATCGAATTTATTAACTGAGAAAAAAAATGTTCTCTCATTTAATTCGAACACATCTAATAAATTCTAATTTATAATCAAAGTTGTGAAATGAATAAGAAAAATTTAGATAGGCTTAATGTAAGATAGAAAAGATGCACAAAATGTAAAAAAAAATACGAAGAATAGACAATGAACGTTTGTAAAATGAATTTTATATTTTTCCAGTTGATCACACCTTGTTTTAAAGGATAAAAATTACTTCAGTACATTTTAATTTTTGGTTCTTTATAATTTTAACAATTTGTCCATTTACTGACTCGTGCTCATTTATTGGTTTTGTTACACTATTGCAAGTGAATATTTTTCGGACAAATGAGATAACTTTAATTATTTTTATACGCTGAATTCGAACATGTAGGTAATTTTCTTTTAATGTAGTGCATTTTAAGGTTATAAACAGATTCATTATTCAAACTTATTCGATACGTAGACTATTCGAGATTTTACATAGAAATGTTCATTTTTTAAGATGAACGATTCTCATAATAACTTTTTTTGTTCCATCTTTATTATTTTAGGTTATAAATAAAGAAGATTGTTATATGTGAAATAGAGTTCACATGAAAAAAGGACCCTTTTTTTTAGTGCGCTAGACAGGTATCCTTCGACCACTATACAGGGCCAGGTATAATTTCCCTTTCTACCATACATTTTGAAACGTCCACTGCTCTAGTAGTAGTGCTTTTGGTATTCTGAATATATACATTGTATTCTTCTGACATAGAAATTAATGATTATATGAAAAAATATTTTGATTTATTATTAAATTATAAGTATATTCATATCCTATTATACCATACAATCTCCTATCAAATATAATTTCATCATCTACTTCTTGAAAAAATGTGCTTGCATATAGGATGCTTGCCTACGAATATCAGTATTGTGGGTTCAAAACCCAGTTGATGTTTTTATATTATTTTTTTTTCTGAAATCAATAACTTATGTTTTAAATTCTACCGATTATTTATTAAAAATAATTATGGAATTTTTATGTATTTCATTATCAACTACCATCAACAACTACCATCGGAACTTCTGGTATCCGTTTATCTGCCTGTTTATTCGCGCTAATCTCCAGAACGGCTAAACTGATAATAATAATAATAATAATTGTACAGGAAGCTACAGCTTGCCGGCAAGCAAGCCGCAGGCGAGTGCGTAAAGTATACTATAACTTGCACTCATCAATTAATTTTTTTTTCTATCAATTCGAAAATAAAAATAAAAGTAATAATAATAATTGTACATTAATTATTTTTAATAAATATTTGGTAGCATTTAAAACATAAATAATCAATTACATCAACTGGGTATTGAACACACGATACTGATATCCGTAGGCAAGCACGCTACCTCTAAGCTACGCCGGCATCACAAGACAATCTTTATAGGTAATATTTAACCTGCGCAAGGGGCTTCGCTTGCTATTGGAAGAGAAGAAGCTTGCCATTGATATAAAGGGGACTTGCTTTAAGAGTAGAGGGGCTCGTTACGAAATGGAAGAGAGAAGAAAAATGCGGCTAGTTAATTAGATTATATAGATAATGACAACAGAAATTCTTTACTATGGCATTCATTATGAATTTACAGCTATTATTCTATTCTTCCGAGTAATTTTTAATTTTTATCAATTGTTAATATAATTTTTTTATTATTTGATTTTAAAGTTGGGATACTGTTTGTCATTATTTTTATAATTTGACTATCTGTCAAACGTCACGAGTAATCGTGAAAAAAATTTCAATTTTACTATTGATGTATACCGAGCGATTTAATCTTTTAAACCACTACGAAATTAGGGATTCGAATCTTCAGTACAAACAAATCTTACCAGGAGTAAAACTGTATTCTACTCCTGACCTTTTAGCTCGTATTGTAGTAGTATCCCAGCAGATTGCTATTGCAATACCTACTGTCCAACAGTTGAGCAGGTATACAGGTTCGTTAGGTATACTAGATCTCCGATTATATTTACGTTTACAAGTATTGAATGTTTTTAGGGATTTATATTTTTAATCTTTTCTTGATCTAAACATGTTTTGCTCATGAGCTAAACCTGAGTGATTGAAATCTTAGGATTCGATCGTAACCCCTGGATTTAACACGATGGAGAGTTGACTCAATGTGATAATGAAGCCTTAAAGCACTTTCGTACACTCTATCTGTCATGTACTTGTGCTTGAAAAGCGTCAACCGACATCCTACACCTAATGCCTCATGCTCCCCTACAAAGTATGTCCAGAGGTCGTTCAATTGGGATAGCTTAGCCTCGATCATAGACATTGTGACGAGAGCAGGCTGTCGCACAAGGTCAGCCACATCTTGCTGCATGGATTGAAGCTGCTCATACCTGGACATTTGAGATGTAAGCTTAAACAGCGTGGTGTTCGCAAGGGCAGAAGGTGATTTCGACCTATCACGTGGTGGCCTTTTCGGGCACCTTGAGTGTTGTTTCACTGGTACCTTCTGCCTGAGAGTCGACTGGAACTGGGGATGGCGCTTGGCTTACACTCACTTGCTCTAACATCTTACTAATACCTTCAACTGACTCATTGTCTTCGGCTACATCTACGTAGTCCGATTTTGCAGGAGAAATTAAACGTTTGTCTGCCATAGTTCAGTTGAGTGAGTTGTCTAATGTCACTAGAACGACACTTATCACTAAGAAGCTGCACAAAAACTGTTGCTAGAGTTGTCTACTGTCATCTTGATACTAATGGTGGGCTTTCACTGAAGTCTCAACACCAAAAGAATCACACAAATTAATTAACTGAGTCTACGAGCTCTGAATAATAATTTTAGGTGACTAAACTTGCACTAATGACACTACACTAATTAACGAACTATGTTTATATACACGTGAGGTGACTGCGTCAAGGCTATCTTGACTCTGACCAAAATGTGCGCCAAGCGTCTAAAGAGGAGTCCAAGTTGGCCGGACTGAGCACCACTGCACACCAATAATAAAGATGAGTGTCACTGGGCACTGGAATGCGTAAACACCTTTTGTCTGTAAGGTTGTTTACACACTGACACTGAGTCTATCTGAATTCCAAGCAATTTATACAGAGCATTTCACAAAATACTCACAAAATTATTAAGCACTAGAACCTTCTAGAGTTGTTCAATCTGCATCTAAGCCGTTCTTATCCGGTCTGGAAGGACCAAATGTTCTGACTTCGAGTCGGCCGGACGAGCAAACTAAAACTAGTGGACTGTAATAAATAAGAGCAGAATAAAAACAAAGGTTGGATGCTAGAAGGTTCCTTAAAAAGAGTTTATTAACACCAAAATCGTATGGTTTTTTCACTTTTATTAACAATTAACAATTAAACTGGTACAATAGAAGGCACTAATCACTAAGGTTCATTGATTGTCCGTAATTCAACTATTTCAACACTTGTGAATTGTCTGCTGGTCAATGTTTCATCAAAAAACGTCTCAAAACAGTGAATAGCAACATTCACGTTATACACCAGAGTTGTTTGGGTGTGCGATGTATATGTGAATGTCTGTGAGGCACTATGGCGTCGACGCCAGTTCAGCTTCGCGCCCAAAGACACTACAACTGACGGTACTGGACCACTGGCACTGATGAGATTGATGATGA